AGCAGATGTTAAGAGTTAACTTTAAAAAATGGTCCATTTCTTTCCTTTATTATTATTATCATTCAACAGATTCAAAGTGTCTACATTTCTCTCTTAGATGGTTATACACTTGTACGAGTTTTGTTGCTTTATCTATTCCTAATCTATTTCGAAGTTTACTCTGCACCAAACCGAAAGTTGAAAAGTGTCTTTCGATAGAGACAGAGGATGCTGGTGCTGAGAGTGTAAAGAAAAAAGAATTGACAGAAATTTTGTGGAAGCTAAGAATTTTATTTATTTCATTTTTTTCGGTGAGTAAAATAACAGTGCATTGATATTTCATTTTTTTTTTTTTTTTTNCTTATTTTTTTGTTTTTTTGCCATAATTTTCCACTATTTTTTGATGAAAACTGTTGAATAACAGTGTCAAGCATCATTGATTTTGGAAAGTATTCAGGATCGGAAATTTTGAATGCCATAACACGTGGCAGAAATTCTGGATGATGAAAGACAGTTTTCTGCTAATTGGTCTTGTTCATCATTTAAAAATTGTCCCTTTGTTTCGGGATCCAGGATACATATGCTAATAAATGATGTGGCTGAACAGCCTGATTGAATCTTTTTACAAAATGTTTATGGAGTTCTAACTCATCACACGATAGTAAGTTAATTCATATTTCAACAGCTTCTGAAATTGAAATGTTTTCTGATTGAAGCTTTTTTAAAGCTTAAGAAACAATTGATATCTGTTTTTCCCAATTGATAGTTTATTGGTAAAGCCCAACATTATTTAATATTTTTGACATATTATTATTAGATTCATTTTGATGTTCAAGAACAATCTCTTCATATTTATAGTAATTATTGGCAAAAGTTTTTAAGCTCTCACAATATGAATTCCAACTAGTATCATTTGGTCATTGGGTCATCAAGCAGTTTTTTTCATTTGCCCATCCATGTGCTTGATGCACATTTCTAAAATATTTGTTAACTTCAACGATGTGTCCAATAATAGTATAGATACTTCTAATATAGATACTTCTTTTTGAACCAAATTAAAAAAAAAAAAACAATGTGAAAAAAATCACCAAGTGGGTTTTTTCAAAGTGGGCCCACTTGGGGAACCCTGGTTATATGTATTTTATATTAAGTTTAAATAACGCATTATCACTGATACATATTTGAATCTTCTTTATTGTTAAGTACATTACGTTTCATAATTTTTTAACTCAAGAATTATAAAATATAAATACAGTAATATAAAAGGAACAAGTTAATTAATCTTTTTGTTTTCACACACATTTATTTACTATATTTATTAAACATATGGATATTACATATTATAAAATTATAATCTGTAAATATTTATAATCAGTAAAAATTAAAATTTCATCTGACTTGAGTAAAATAAAAAACTGAAATAAATATTTAATGGTCTTACATGTTCTTATAATAAGATTAATAGAAAGTGAAATTAAAACTACGTAAAATTATAAAGAGTATCAGTTACTTGTCCCATTTGTTTTCAAATAATTAACCCTAGGAAAATGATTTCATTTTTAGATAAATAATTTTAAAAAGTTCTCTTATAAAAAGTTTTAGCTTTTTTTTTAAATCCAGAAAATAAAACTGTTTAAATTTGTTAATGTATCACTTGGTAAAAAAAGACAAAAATTGTTTCTTTTCAATTTTTTTAAACATATGAATTAATAATAATAACCTGTTTATTAATATATAAAGCATGCAACAATATTTGAAAAATTGATCTTTTCAGAGTATATTATTTAAATTTTTATTTCATTTAATATCATTAAAATATTACTTTTTGAAAAAAACCCACTTGAAGTTTTCAATAGTAGGTACCTACTATAAAATTATATGAAGATTTGAGTTTCTTTTACTTTACTAATATTAAAAACTTAATCATATAAATCATGCAACTCTATTTGACAAATTTATGCTGCACAATAAATTATATAAAAGTAAATGCAAAACAATAAGTTTTAGTGAAAAAAATTTTTTTTTTTTTAAAAAAACCCACTTATCGTTCCAAGTGGGTTTTTTCAAGGTGGGCCCACCCAATAAAACCCGGGCGGGTTTCTTCAAAGTGGGCCCACTTGGTGAACCCTGGTTTGAACGGTTTTAATTTTGCAAAGCCTTAATTCTAAGAATGAAGTTAGTTACCTTATTTTACCTTCATGAAAAAAAGGAGATGCTCCTAGAAGAGGACATATGCGTCTAATGGGATAACAAAAGCAATTGAACTGACTTAATAAAATCGTACTACACATTTTGTTGAGCATAATTACAGGTTCAAAAATAACCAGGGGCGTAGTTATGGGAAGGGTTGGGGGGGTGTCAAAACCTCCTCCGAAATGAAGCATTATTTGAATAATTAACTGTTGTTCGGTAAGTAGGATGTAGATATCAAAAATTCATTATTTGTTATTCAAACGTTTAGAATATATATATATGTGTGTGTGCAGACAGATGGGTACTTTATTTACGTCACACTAGATCTGCACAATGGGGCTATTGGTGGACTGTTAGGAAAACATCCCCGAGGATGATCCGAAGACATGCTATCTCAATTTTGATCCTCTGTAGAGAGAACGACCTGCGAGCGATTACGGTAGGACGATACCGCGCTCCCTCGGTACCTACGCAGGCTGATCAAAGTGGTTACCCACCCGCTTACTGACCGTAGCTAGTGATGCTTGACTTCGGTGTTCTACTGGAAACCGTGTCTTTACGATCAATCCACTGCGGGATAGAATATATATATTATAACTACTAACGCCTACTTTCCGTAACGTATAATAATGATAAACCTTGCTCAACTTGATTTAACAAAAATTCAATCTTGATTTTCCAAAAATTTAGTATCTGAAAGTTTTCAACAGCATAAAAATTTATGTCAAAGAATAAATCAGAGCAAATTTACTGAAAAGACTACAAGCAAAAGAAAATGTGTTCACCGTTGACATCCTTATGATTGACAGATTCTCTCTATCTTTGTCGGAAGTAACAAGAAATAGAACATTCACAGTTTTTAAAATGACAAAAATTTTTACATTTTGAATTATGTATTTGCAGAAAAATGAAATTCTGGTCATTCCAAGCACAATATTAACACTGGAAAGACTGAAAATTAGTATATACCTATATTGCCCAAAAGCAGTCAAAATGACTTGTGTATGCGTCAATAAATTTGTTTAAAATTAATTTTTGACATTTTTTATAGTCGTATATCAAGTTATTAGTAAATATTAACAATAAAAAAAATTATATGTTGTTCAAAAAGTCACAAAATTCTAAGAAATTGTGTCATTATATACATCATTGTTTTTTTAATTAAAAATAAAAGCAGTCAAAATGACTTCCTAAGGCAATCTAGTGTTAATCGAAACATTAATTATGCTGCTCGCAGTTGGAAAATGCTTTGGACTGAAAGTAGGCGTTACTTTTCATTAGTAGGGGTAACTAATAGAATTAGAGGAGAGATACTTTCTCACAAAACGGAAGGCGAATTGAATAAATATTAAATTTCGAAAATTTCCTAAATCTTATGTGGAATTGTAGTAATTTCGTTACACTATAGCAGGGGTGGCGAACCTTTATACACCAACGTGCCAACTTTTTTAAAATAATTGTTTAATGAGGTCATAGACGTGCCTTCAAATAATTTTGACTTCGTGATTATTGAGAATACTAAATACAATCAACTCAAAACTCTTTATTTACATATTTAAAAAAAAATGCATTTCGCCATGTCTTAAGACAACTTAAAGTAACATCAGTGCAATTTCTGTTGTTGCAGATTAGATGACAAATAATTTATATTAAGTTGTAAGATGTTAGTTTAAGCAGGACTGTTATTTTTTTGGCTAGTTATTTATTTTTAGCTTGGTTATTAATTGTTTTTTTTAGCATTAATTGTTAATTTTTTTATAAATAATTTTTTATTTTTTTGAATTTTAATTTAATTGTTACACATATTAATTACATTGTTACATATGTCACATTTGTGTAATAACAATTGTGATCGGTGGCGTGCCCAAAATATTGTGCCTCGTGCCATTGGTTCGCCATCCCTGCACTATAGGCTGCAGTGGAATGCACTGTTATTTTACTCATCGAAACATTTGCTTTCTTTCCGTATAATATAGGGACAGCGCTAACGCAGTCCCAACTTCCAAAAATTGTGCACCCAATCATTCACAATTTGTGAAAGTGGAGAACGTCAACCCCTCGCAGTGCAATGAGAGGTCTCTGCTCGGGGGAGCCTCCTAGTTGATCAAGGCATCCTCAGTGCCAAGTAAGTATAACTAGATGACTTGACAGGAATTGGAGCGAAGTACCTGCCCGCGGAGCGGGCATCTCACTTCTTCATCTGGTCTTTAGGTAGTAGTTGTGACTATTGGCATGGGTTGGTATTACTAGATGAAATTCATAAAAAACTAAATAACAATTAACTTAATATAAGACTGGTAGCTAAACAAATTTATATATTTAATAATAAATTTCTTTTGCTAATAATTACCAGTCCCACAGAGGATTGATAGTAAAAACAGTGTTCTCAGTGGAACACCGAAGTCGAGCATCACTAGCTACGGTCAGTGAGCGGGTCGGTAACCACTTTGATCAGCCTGCGTAAGGACCGAGGGCGTGCGGTATCGGTCCTCGTTAAACTATTCTACCGTAAAGTGCTCGACTTCACGCGCAGGTAGTCGGGTTACCGAAGCAGGGGAGTCATCCCCTCTGGAGAGATCAAAATTGTGATGGCATGTTTTCACCCTCAGGGATGTTTCCCAGTCTCCAATTAGCCCATTGTGCAGTTCTAGTGTGATCAGGGCCTGATTATCGCCTAGGCCCAATAGGCACGGGCCTAGGGCCTACGCTTTCTGGGGGCCTCAAAAATTAGTAAGAAATCCACAATATTTCATTAAAAAAATACTGAAAGAAACAGTTTATCTCAAAAAAGGCATTTTTTATTTCAAATTTTCCTTATATTGTGATAAACCAAACTCGTGTAAACATTGCACTAATCAATTTCGAAAGTACAGCTGAATTTTAATTGGTGCAATCTTTACTCCAATGGCTTAAGCAAATGCAACTGGAATGCAAAGTCACTTATAAATGATTAGTGTCAACAAGAACTTAACAAATATGTAAAGCTGTAGATGGAAGGCTGCAATCTTTAAAATAATTCAGCTGATCAGTGAATTTAGCAAAAATCACTTTCAATTGTTGGTGGTCACCAAACTATTTTCATACAACATTGTTTTGTTTTATATTTTGCCTTAATAATTACATGTTTAAACTTTATCTTAGAAAAATAATCTTCAATTGTCAACTTTCAAAATTTTTTAGAATGTTTCTCTTGAATCGTGCAGTTCAGTTCAATAGATTCTTTTTATAGTTAGAACTACTCTCCAGAAATTTAATTTGATACCTCAGGTTATTTGGTTCGATCAATTTCGTTTAAATTTTCTATTTTTTTTTCCTTGTTAAATTACCTTTGTTTAAAACGATGTAAAAAATGGTATACCGTACAATTAAATTTTTCTCCCATTATTTGATAAAATAATGAATATTTACTAAAAGTTATTTTTCGACAATTTGTACAATTATAAACGATCTTTGTAATTGTGCAACACCTCTGACGTGAGGGTACGGGGCAACTGCCCCTTTCAGCCCCTGTCTTAGTCAGGCTCTGGATACGACTATGCAGGGAATAGAGGGTTCGCCTTCCAATAAGGTGAACCGGGTTCAAATTCCAGCGATGGTTGGTCGATACGAATTCCGTTCGCATCCGGCTCGCACCGACAACACTGCTGACGTTAAATATCTTCAGTGGTAGACTTAGAGTCTCCCTTCCCCAAGTTGCGTAGCCAAATCTTTCGAAAAGAAAATAAGCACCATATACACTAACGAAATGCTTAATAATTTTCACAGACTTTACATCATGATAACATAACTAATTTCCGTCAAAGAAATCTCTATTTGGTTACATTAGGGGTGGGAAGAGGGTGGAAAATGAAGCCTGCAATTGTGAATATCTTGCAAAATGCAGCAGAGTCTTACAGAAGAATGTAATAATCTCACCCTACTCAGCTCAGTAGTACTCCCAAAGTATTTCATGAAACATGTAAAATGATTGGCGCTTTCATACACCAAGAACCGACGGGACGTCGAAATAGATTGCGATTGAATGATATGTGAAAAACCTGCTTTTGCATAATACATGGCGAAAATCGACATGGTTTAGAAAAAAAAATCTCAATTTCAAAAAGGTTAAATTAAACACTTTTTAAAAACACCTTGAAAGGGCTTTTAAAAAGCGAAAATAAGCATATTAAAAACGCTGCGCACCATGGGTTATTATATTTTATACAAAATATTGATCATTTCCCTTTTTTTTCTTTTTTTTTAACTGCCTGTGAAGGCAGAGGGAGTGCGATTGTTCTCGTTTTCCTGTTTAAATTCCTTGTTTTCCAAGAATTCGACTTCTGCCACACCCGTTTATAAGGCGGACCCATTCATTCATCCACAGATCTTAATTTTGACCTGAATCAGAGAACGATCCATTTCCAATTCAGTACCCCCAGAAGTATTTATTTGTTATGGGGACATGTAGGATTTTGGGACTCCACAGATTTACCCTGCATCAGTAGCATCAGTCACCATTTACTACACGGGAAGCCTTCGGCCGGCGGGGTTCGAACACACGAACTCCTGGACATGGACCCAGAGCCCTACCGACTAGGCCAGGGATGGCGAACCAATGGCACGCGACACAATAATTTGGGCACGTCACGGATCACAATTGTTATTGCACTATGAATTTTTATTACACAAATGTTATTACACTATGAAGCATATGTAACAATTAAATTAAAATTCACAAAAATCAAACAAAATAATAAGCAATTGTTAATAAAAAAATTAACAATTAATGCTAAAAAAAACAATTAATAACCATAAAAAACAAGCTAACAACAATTAACTAGCAAAAAAATCAACAGTCCTGCTTCAACTAATATCTTACAGCCTAATATAAGTTATTTGTCATCTAATCTGCAACAGAAGACCCATTGATGTTGCTTAAAGTAGAATTACGCCTATAACTGAGACATTGCAAAATGAATTTTTTTTCAATGTAAATAAAGAGTTTTGAGTTGATAGTATTTAGTATTATTATTTTCCCAATAATCATGAAGTCAAAATTATTTGACGGCACGTCTGTGACTTCATTAAAAATTTTTTTAGAAAAAATGGCACGTTGTTGTATAAAGGTTCGCCACCCCTGGACTAGGCTATGCCGTCCCCTAGTATTTAATGATCATTAATTAAAATATAGAGAGAAAAGGCAACAATAAATATACATAAAATAAAATGTATTTACTCCTCATAATACTGTCTTCCCCTTTTGTTCACTCCTTTTTCATTGATTCAATAGAATGTTTCATTAAAGTAATATATTATTTAATATTCTAAACAACTCTTATAAATTGTTTTATCAATTGCCTAATCATTGTTATAAAAATACTTTGTTTTCATACAAATAAAAAACATTGAATCTTCAGAGTTTCGTGTTTTTATTACTAAAAATTCTTTTGAAATTCTATTTATTTATAAGAATCTAGGCTTTTTTTCATTAATTTTGCTTCATAAAACATTAAAATGTCATGCAAAAATGATGCAAGATGATTTCGTTAAAAAAAATTTTCTTCATAAATGAAACTTTACTTTTACAACATTAATTTCATGTAAAAGTTTGTTTCATTAATAAATTATTTTATTAATTAATGCGCTTGACGTATTAAATTTGTTTTCTGTACATATTAGAATTTCTATTTGTTGATATACAAATTTAAAATTCGTTTTATATTATTATAAAAATAATTACCACGACGCTCCCATTTTTTTCTACTAAAAGCATTCCAAAAACAGAAAGAAAAGAAAAGAGAATCTAAACATTCAAAAAATATAAATACCTTTAAATTTTGCCTTATTAATTTAAAAATATAGTTTCTCAAGAAATATTTAAATTCAAGTACTTAAAAATGTATCAATCTTCACAATGCATTTGTTTTTTACTCTAATTTATTTCATTTTATATTGCGTTTCATTCAGTTAACAACAAAATATGCTAAGAAGTAAAGATTATTTAGTTGAATAAATGCAACAGAGTATTTGCTAGTGAGCATTATTTTCGTTCGTTCTGTTAATAGATGAGTGCACCAGTTATTTAAAATAAATAATAGTTTCATTCTATAAGTGGAGATGTATATCGTCAACTGATGGTACTGAGATATATTTTATTTTAATTTATAACCGTCGTTGAACAACCGACCCAATTTTTGGGTTTACAACTACCAATGTTCAACTACGTAACCTTGTCCTTTTGAACCCAATTCAGAAGACAAAGGAACTTCTGGATAAACCATTGGGAGAAATTTGCTTTTGTGGAGGACTTTTTGATTGAACTAACCCGGATTTTCGTTACACGGAGAGGAAGACCACGAGTACCACCAACGGTTGTATGAATAATATTAACGTACGACAATGAAATTATCTTATTTTCAATTTTTTTTGCATATGCATTAAGAATTGATTTAAAAAAAATTTCGGAGTAAAAATTACCAATGGAAAAATTTCGAACTTGAAATGAAAGTTAAATTTAGGTAAAAAAAAAAGCAAATAAAAAATAATTTCTTTATAGAGTTCTTGAGGTCAAGAATTATGACCACAACAGAAAAATACAAAGCAGCATTGTCGAAGAATATTCTACTAATAGTCTTATAAAAGAATTGAAACGTTAATTTTGTTTTATGAAAGTTACATCTTTTATTGATATTTAATCTTAAATTTAGGTATAATAAAAGTTAAAAAGAAAAAATGAAGGAACCGTTGTGAGTTTCTCATGTAAGCATGACAGCAATTATGTTAACTGATCAAACGAATTTATTCAAAAAGAAAACCTTGGTAACAGCTTCAAACATAAAAATTAAAGTTTGAATGGGAATTAGTACAAAACGCGCCAAATTACATGTAAAGATAAAGATGATAGTATGGCACCCTAAAGAATCGTAGACAAAGAACTTGCCGATTTAAAAAATAAAACTTAGCAGGCGATTCTTTGGCAATTTGCCAGATGTTCCTTTAAAACTTTAAAATGAAAGGGCAAAATTAGAATTGACAATTAGAATTTTTCTAAACAATTCTTATTTTTTTATTGTTTCGGATAATAATGTCTGACTCATATTTTGTTTCATGCTACTTAAATTTTATGAAAGCTTATAGAATATGCACTTGCATAA